GCGCTTTAGGGCTAATTAGTCGCTCATTCGTCACGCAGTTTTGTCACCGCGCTTTAGACACCGCGCTTTAGTCAGGCACGCTTTTGTTGTGCGCGCATTTGTGGTGGAACCCTGCATTTGAGATGGGAGGCCTTACGAAAACCTTGGGGTAAACAGTACAGGCTGCCTGTGCTTCTTTGAGACCCTTCCCCAAGACAAGTGACCTTGGAAGAAGTCAAATGTTATGAACAGCAAGCAAAGATCATCTCAGAGTTGCTGTTTTGGTCTGCCTAGTGTAAGCATCTGTGGTCTGGCTATTTCCCAGCTCCAGCTGACTAGGAAACATAACTACTACCACAAACCATTCCCAGAGATTCCACAGCTTCCTGTGGCTTACTTCCCGTGCCCAGGTGGTTTGCTTAAAACATCTTCATTGTGCTCTTGCAAATGAGCCAGTAGTATCTTCCCCCCACCCTCACAATATATCACATTTAAACCATATACACAGGAAGATCCTAATATGCCCAGCTGATACAGCTGTTGAAAAGATGTCCTGCTCCTGGGCGTATGTTGCAATTTTGTTCATTCTTTATCGTTTTTGTTAGAAATGTTCACGGAGATAAAAATAATATATTGCATGCAATACTATAAAGGAAGAATAAAGAAAAGACATGTCAGCTGAGGGATTGAAGGAAAATGATTATAAAAAGAAAAGAAAAAGATAAGATAAATAAGGAAGTGGTTTCCAGTCTTCTTTACAGTCATTACAAACTTCATCTCTCTTCCCTCATTAAAGATACTTGAATGAATACTTCCAATAGTAAATACTCCCAATATTCAGTTCATTTTAATCAGTAAACCCATAAATTATCAATTCATTTTTTTCCTTTTTCAACAAAAAGTCCAGAGGTTTCCAAAGTATGTATGTATGTATGTATGTATGTATATCTATCTACCTACCTACCTACCTACTTACCTATCTCTATATCTATCTATCATTTATCATATATCCATTATCTATCTATATATCTACCTACCTACCTACCTACCTACCTCTCTATCTATCTATCTATCTATCTATCTATCTATCTATCTATCTATCTATCTATCTATCTATCTATCTANAGAAGAAGCAGAAGCAGAAGCAGAGTAGTAGTAGTAGTAGTAGTAGTAGTAGTAGTAGTAGTAGTAGTAGTAGTAGTAGTAGTAGTAGTAGTAGTAGTAGTAGTAGTAGTAGTTTCACTTCTTATCCAAGAAGCTTCATCGGTTCTTGGATGAAAAGCAAAATGTCTTCTTCTTCCTCAAGGAAAAAACCCGTAAGGTTGCCTTTTGAAAAAGCACCTTTGAGAATGACTTGTCTAGAGTTCTTTTTTTTTCCCCCTTCAGAACCACATCTCATCACAATTATTATTATTTTTTGTAATAGTTTTTTGTTTTATTTTATTTTTAGTATACAAAAATTCCTATTTCAATTGAACAGTGTGTTGTCTGGGTACAAATCATTTTAGGAAATAATAATCAAACCGTTTACAATATTCATTGCATTAATATCAATCATACTAATATTAATAACAGTAATAACCATGCTTTTTATTTAACTGTTAACCTATCTTCCTTATATCGCTCATCCTTTCACATATTTCCCTGTTTCTAGTTCATGTTTTTGTCATTTGATAAAATGGGTCCCAAGTAAAAAAAAAATTCAGTTTCTTTCTTTTTTTTCTTTAATTGCAAGTGTTCTTATCCAATCTAATCACAATTATTGAACTTCTGTGAGCTGGCATGTCGCCATTTTCACATGGAGGGCTGAGAAATATTGCCATTGTTACCGCACAACAAGGCTTCAGGCTATTTCTGAAAACACAGCAAAAAAAAACCCCATCTTCATATTGCCTCTGGCACAAATTCCTCACACTGTTTGGGTGGGCGACATGAGCCCTGCTCAGTTTGTATATCCGCAGCCTTCATCCTTCCAAATATAAGAGGCCACAGGTCACAAAAGAAAATTATCAAACCCCGTTTTAAAGGAAGATTATCCCTTCCATTTGAGCCTTTTGCTTCTTATTCAAGAAACAGAAGGACTTGAATGCATTGAATCTAAACTGGGAATTGGAGTCCTCGTCACATTTGTTTTCAACCTTGTGAATTAAAAATACCAGATTAATATTACACCTGAATTTAAGACTGGCTTCAGCAGATCGTTTGGGGAATCGCACAGATAGGAACTTTTCAGTAATAGTTTTGTAGTTTCAGAATTCCTGTTTGATGCTGTTACTATAGTAGTCGTAATAGCAGTACTAGTAGTAGTAGTAGTAATTATGATTAAAGTTATGTATTGCCCAACTCCTACTGACTCCAGACAGGGAACATCTTGTTTAAAACTTAAAAAGAGAGAGAGAGAGACAAAAAATAAAAAGTAAACATAGGAAGGATGACAACGATGGAAAACAACCTACACAGTCTAAAGGGAGTTTCACCATCCTTCACCAACTCACTTCACTATTCTTCTAAACAACAACTGAGTGGGAGTTATTTAAAACTTGGGGGAACCCAATTCCAGAGGGCAGAGACTGACTCAGAGACGTTTCCCAATAAATGGCATTGAATCCCGAGAATGCCAACTGTGCTAGATCAAATCAGCCAGGCAGATGCTACAGGAAACAGGTGATTATTCAAATATGCCATATACTCATATATATTTTTTAGAAAAAAAAGTTGAAGATGCTTTTTTGATTTATCTTCACATTCCATCATTTGGTTATTGCTTCAGACACCTTCCTGCAATTCTTTGAAAAGGATGAACTGGCAGCCTGGAATTCATTTAATCCCTAGGGGGTGGTGGTTGTTTTTGTCAATGGAGATGAAATTATGGAAATGCGTTGTTTGCTCTATTTGTAGCTGGAATTGGAAGCACGTGCTTAAGAAATAGGGTAAAAGTCCAAGAACATACATTTGAGAGATATGTGTCATGTTCTTTGAGAAATCTTAAAAGCAAAGCGTATCAGTCATCAGGATTTTTAAAAAGGAGCGAGAGAATTGCATGCAATGGACAATTTGAGAAGGATAGAACGTAGAATAATAGCTTTGGAAGAATCTTGGAGGTCTTCCCCAAAATGAAGCCTGGTTTGAATATCAACAAAAGAGGGAAAAATGAAGTTGATTTATGTCTTCTATTTCTAATGCCGTGTGTCCTGCAAGACATTTTATTATCTTATGATTACTTCTAAGATACAACTAGACAGAACAACTAGACACAAGGACAGTTTCCCCCCCCCCCGAATGCCATCACTCTGCTTAACAATTAATTCCCACAACACTGTCAAATAATTTACAAAGACTGTGTTACTATTATTATTCTCTTCCTTCCTAGTATCTATCTCTCCCCACTTATGCCTATATTAAACCATGTTGCTTGTATCTTTTAATTTATATATTGTTTTATTTGTTTACTAGTATGATTTGATAGCTTATTAGTAACCTTGACTATTACGAAGTGTTGTATCTTTTTATTCTATTATGCACACTGAGAGCATATGCACCAAAGACAAATTCCTTGTGTGTCCAATCTCACTTGGCCAATAAAGAATTCTATGAGAGATTACTATGCAGCAGCAAAGAACACAAAAGAAAAATAAGTTCTGAATAATACAACCAAAATGAGAAAATATGACAAAGTGCAAACCACACACACACAAACACACACACACACACACACGTTCAAAACAACTGATGAAGAAGGACTGGAGACCTTATTACATTTCGTGACCTCCCTACCCATTTTCCAGAAATCTTGGCTACCCCAACTGAAATCATCAAAGATGAAATTCCTGGCTTTAGTTACTCCTTGACAGCAACTCGGGGTATCGATGCCAGCAATGTACGTGGGGAGAGGAAAAAGGATGCTTCCATTCTCCTCTGATTTGGAAATTCCTCTTGGGCAGATCTTTTCCCACCTGGAACTGAGAGGAACAACATCCCACCAGGGTGATTTTGAAAGGCAGAATAGAATCCGTGCCAAAGAGAGGAAAGTTGGAAGGACCGTCTTCTTCCCGTGTGGAATTTCAGATAAATCAATGGGTGGGTTTTCTTTTGCTGGCTGGGAGATCGATCTGGAGCTGAGAAAGAGTTAACCAAGAGGGAATGAAAGGGTTTGGGGTGGAGAGGGAGGGAGGGAGGGAGAGAAATGTTTGAGCTGACACTTCATCTGGAGAGGCGGATCCTCCTGGATCCTGATTGGCCTCGAGTTCCATCCCAAAACTCCACCGCCCCCCTCTTTTTCCCCTTTTCCTCTCCCCCCTCCCCAATTCTCCTCCTCCTCCTCCTCCTCCAGCTCTCTGCTCCCTGGGGAGGAGAATGCAGAATAGTGAGCGAGATCAAAAATAAACCTCTTATGTCAAAGCGGAGGAAAGAAAGTATAAATACCGCAGCTCTTTACAGTTTGTTCTGCAAGGAGCTACTCAGGGAGAGCAAGTCCTCCTCCAAGGAAGGAAAGTGGGAGGGGAGGTAAACCCAAAGAGAGAGAGAGAAAGAGAGAGAGGAATTAGAATCTCCCCCCCAAGACTTTTTCGTCTCTTGGTGCTTTTTCCCAACTGGACAAGTTGACTTGTTGGTGCTGCTGTTTCTTGCCTAGCTTTGCGACCGCAGCTTTGCAAAAATCCGGGAGGCCCCCAAGGAAGCTGAGCTGGTGAAGAAATCACCATTGGGGCAGAAAAGAATTTTGCACCTTTGCTGCTAACTCAGCTGATCCCTTCTTTTTCCCCTCTCCAAACTTTGTCTCCTTCTGTCTCTCTCCTTCATTTCCTAGCCTTACGTTCTGCAGGATTGCACCCTGTCTCAAAGCTTCCTCCGGTGAATCTCCATCCTCTCTCTCTCTCTCTCTCTTTCTCTCTGTATCTCTCAACCAGTCTTCTCCTCCTTCTCCAGCCTTCTAGCATCTATGCCACTTCCTCTTCAGCAGCAACCCTTCGCGAGCTGGTTGGCAGCTCTCTTTTCGCTCTTCCCCTTGCTGCTGTTTCCAAATGCCTGGGCATTATCTCTCCAGAATAGCGGCGGCGGCGGCGTGCAGGAGGTGGTGCCCGTCTGGGGAGATATGCCTCCGGGCAAGAGCAGACAGGTTTCTTTCTCCATCACGGCCTTCGGGAAAGTGCTCCTGCTGCAGCTGGAACCCGATGCCAGCTTCTTGGCTTCTGGGCTGAAGATTCAACACGTTGGTAGAAAGGAACCTGTTGGGTTCTTGGCTGAGAAAGAGGAGGAGGAGGACGTGAAGCTCAGGAGATGCTTCTACTCAGGGACTGTCAACTCACAACCAGACTCCCTAGTGGCGGTCAGCTTGTGTCAGGGCATCCGTGGCTCCTTCTTTGTGGATGGAGACAAGTACATCATCCAGCCCCAAAATCCTGGAAGCGGGGATCCCCTGATGCAGGTTCATCAGCTCCAGAAGAGAAGCTGGCCAAAAGAAGCTGGCCAGGACAGGCGAGGAGGGGAAGCCCAGCTGGGACCCAACAGCACCACCCTCAACAGAGCGAAGAGGTTCACCTCCCAGGCTCGTTATGTGGAGACCCTGCTGGTGGCCGATACCTCCATGGTCCAATTCTATGGGGACGACCTGATGGTAAGGGAACATGCTTTCCTAGTCCTCCTCTATCTTTCCAGGCTCAGGGCTCAGAGAGTGCATGCAAAACTGTTTAGATTGAGAAACGGGGCATTCCTGTTGCATGAGATAGCAGCAACCTTGATGAAATGCAGCCGCGTGTTATAACCGTTGTAAAACGCTCCAGATCTTGGAATGTTCCCTACAAGCCACAAAGGTCTTGAATTCACAAGGCAGTCTTCAGCCTCCCGCTTTGTACTACGAGGGTAGGAAGTTTGATGCGCTTTAGAGAGCAGTTTTAGCAACTCGCAAGAGAGCGGCTGAGAGTCTCCCAACGCGACGGGACTAGCTAGTAGCAGTCGTACCAAAGAGAAAGACGCCCAGAGGACCAGAGTTGAAGGTACGGGCAGGGTCACTGCAGGACAAATATCACGCCTTTTAAGCTTGCCTTTTATAGAAGAGCAGGATTCCGTATTATCCCGGGGTAACAACGATGCCTCCCTGCCGGGTGCTGTAGAAACCCAGCTGCATTTTCTTCTCAGTATGATGTCATTTGCATCCTTGCATTCTCCTTTCTCCTGATTGGCATCCCTGGATGAAGCCAAGAGGCATTTGGGATCAAGTCACGTATGCTGATACACGTTACAAGAGAAAGCTTAACACCTAGGTGTTATTGTTTTGGCCGCTGTCCCGGGGCTCCAGTAACGCTGAACTCCAGCGTGACTATGGAAATTGGCTACTGCCTCAGCTGGTTGGCAGGAGGGAGAGAGATCTGCATTTTTAGCCAATCTCTATAGATATTCGGATTTGCCCTCTTGCTCCTCCTCCCTGGGGCAACTGTCTGATAGAAGCCGAGAGCCCGCTGTGTTCTGTAGGAAAAAGATAAGAATCTCTTTTCTGTCTGTCCTCTAAACTTTTACTTTTTAAAAAAAAAAGAAGTCTACCTTTAAATCCCTCCCCTTCCCTTCCTTTCCTTTCCTTTCCCTTCCCTTCCATCCTGTTCCAAAGCAAAATACTTTTTAGATTTTTGGAGTCTGTATGATTGCACCTTAATGTAATACCATTTGGTAAAATGTAAGGCGGAACACTTTGATTTCCCTATACTTAAGGACCCCAAACTAGTAATCGCATATTCTGTACCAAACAGCTGGCAAGAGAACGGTAAAACAATTTAATGGGATAGACATGACTGTGTCACATTTTGGTGCCGTCTGAACGAATGTAAGTTCTCTCATATTGGACAGTTTAGGGTCCTGTTGCTTAATTCTTGGCACAATTGCTTAGTTTGTTGGAAAGAAGGCAGTCTAGACACCCAACCATATGTTAAGTTTCAAGTCCCGAAGAGCATGAGAGAGAGAGAGAGAGAGAGAGAGAGAGAGAGAGAGAGAGAGAGAGAGAGAGAGAGAGAGAGAGAGAGAGAGAGAGAGAGAGAGGGGGGGATTAAGAGAGAGAGACACA